CCTATGCCTATATACGAATCTTGAGGTAAGATTTGGACATGAATTTTGACAAAAAAATATGTGTTCAGATTTGAATGCCAGATTAATATAGAGGGAATACCATGGATAAAAATCAAAATCTCATAAGAATCGGTTGAGTTTTGACCGAGTTATGGGGATCGGAAGTTTCGACCTATGTCTATATACGAATCTTGAGGATAAATTTTGAGTCTCTATACGAATCTTGAGTTAAGATTTGGACATGAATTTGGACTAAAAAATATGTGTTCAGATTTGAATGCCGGATTAATATAAAGGGAAAACCATGAATAAAAATCCAAATCTCATAAAAATCGGTTGAGTTTTGACCGAGTTATGGTGATGAGAAGTTTCGACCTATGCCTATATACGAATCTTGAGGTAAGATTTGGACATGAATTTTGACAAAAAAATATGTGTTCAGATTTGACTGCCAGATTAATATAGAGGGAATACCATGGATAAAAATCCAAACCTAGTAAAAATCGGTTGAGTTTTGACCGAGTTATGGGGATTGGAAGTTTCGACCTATGCCTATATACGAATCTTGAGGTAAGATTTGGACATGAATTTTGACAAAAAAATATGTGTTCAGATTTGAATGCCAGATTTATATAGAGGGAATACCATGGATAAAAATCCCAACCTCGTAAAAATCGGTTGAGTTTTGACCGAGTTATGGGGATTGGAAGTTTCGACCTATGCCTATATACGAATCTTGAGGTTAGATTTGGACATGAATTTGGACTAAAAAATATGTGTTCAGATTTGAATGCCGGATTAATATAGAGGGAAAACCATGAATAAAAATCCAAATCTCATAAAAATCGGTTGAGTTTTGACCGACCTATGGGTATTGGAAGTTTCGACCTATGCATATGTACGAATCTTGAGGTTAGATTTGGACATGAATTTGGACTAAAAAATATGTGTTCAGATTTGAATGCCAGATTTATCTACAGGGAAAACTATGAATAAAAATCCAAATCTCATAAAAATCGGTTGAGTTTTGACCGAGTTATGGGGATTGGAAGTTTCGACCTATGCCTATATACCAATCTTGAGGCAAGATTTGGACATGAATTTTGACTAAAAAATATGTGTTCAGATTTGAATGCCAGATTAATATAGAGGGAAAACCATGAATAAAAATCCAAATCTCTTAAAAATCGGTTGAGTTTTGACCGAGTTATGGGGATCGGAAGTTTCGACCTATGTCTATATACGAATCTTGAGGATACATTTTGAGTCTCTATACGAATCTTGAGTTAAGATTTGGACATGAATTTGGACTAAAAAATATGTGTTCAGATTTGAATGCCGGATTAATATAAAGGGAAAACCATGAATAAAAATCCAAATCTCATAAAAATCGGTTGAGTTTTGACCGAGTTATGGTGATGAGAAGTTTCGACCTATGCCTATATACGAATCTTTAGGTAAGATTTGGACATGAATTTTGACAAAAAAATATGTGTTCAGATTTGAATGCCAGATTAATATAGAGGGAATACCATGGATAAAAATCCCAACCTCGTAAAAATCGGTTGAGTTTTGACCGAGTTATGGGGATTGGAAGTTTCGACCTATGCCTATATACGAATCTTGAGGTAAGATATTGAGTCTATATACGAATCTTGAGGTAAGATTTGGACATGAATTTGGACTAAAAAATATGTGTTCAGATTTGAATGCCGGATTAATATAGAGGGAAAACCATGAATAAAAATCCAAATCTCATAAAAATCGGTTGAGTTTTGACCGACCTATGGGTATTGGAAGTTTCGACCTATGCCTATGTACGAATCTTGAGGTTAGATTTGGACATGAATTTTGACTAAAAAATATGTGTTCAGATTTGAATGCCAGATTTATCTACAGGGAAAACTATGAATAAAAATCCAAATCTCATAAAAATCGGTTGAGTTTTGACCGAGTTATGGGGATTGGAAGTTTCGACCTATGCCTATATACCAATCTTGAGGCAAGATTTGGACATGAATTTGGACTAAAAAATATGTGTTCAGATTTGAATGCCGGATTAATATAAAGGGAAAACCATGAATAAAAATCCAAATCTCATAAAAATCGGTTGAGTTTTGACCGAGTTATGGTGATGAGAAGTTTCGACCTATGCCTATATACGAATCCTGAGGTAAGATTTGGACATGAATTTTGACAAAAAAATATGTGTTCAGATTTGAATGCCAGATTAATATAGAGGGAATACCATGGAAAAAAATCCAAACCTAGTAAAAATCGGTTGAGTTTTGAGCGAGTTATGGGGATTGGAAGTTTCGACCTATGCCTATATACGAATCTTGAGGTAAGATTTGGACATGAATTTTGACAAAAAAATATGTGTTCAGATTTGAATGCCAGATTAATATAGAGGGAATACCATGAATAAAAATCCAAATCTCATAAAAATCGGTTGAGTTTTGACCGAGTTATGGGGATTGGAAGTTTCGACCTATGCCTATATACGAACTTGAGGTACAATTTTGAGTCTATATACGAATCTTGAGGTAAGATTTGGACATGAATTTGGACTAAAAAATATGTGTTCAGATTTGAATGCCAGATTAATCTAGAGGGAAAACCATGGATAAAAATTCAAACATCGTAAGAATCGGTTGAGCTCTGACCGAGTTATGGGAATGGGAAATTTCGACCTGGACTTGCCCGTGGCACGTTTTAAATTATCTCAAATCTACCACTGTTGCTGGCAAAATTTTCTAAATTGATGAAACACGTACTCATTAGGTTCTTTCAATGCCTAATCGAAAATAGGCATCGTGATTTTCTTTTAATATATTTATAATTCTTTCTTTTATAGGCTATTAAGAGGCTGCTCTCAAGTTCAACTTGAACTCTTCTACTTACTGTTGGAGAGCAAATCTTTTGGCCAAATTTATTGCTAAATATTTGATTAAAATGACCTTATCCAGTGTCGCTTCGTGCAACATTTATTTGCATTTAAGCTAATTGCAATTCAGTGAAGCTTGCTAAATTTAACTCACATTTCGTATACCTGTCCGTTTGCCACTAAACTTTTGCCAGCTGAACTGTCAACATTTATCCCTCCGGCCCCCTCAAGCAACACACATTTCCCATTTCCACTCTTCTTCATCTTTGGCTCTTTAGTTGCACATTTTAATTCCACAGCTTTGGGTTAATTAATTGCGTTCCTTTTAAATTTGAAATTAAAACAACCTTAACCCGAGACTCGTAGTCTAAACCAACACCAAAACCCTAACCCGTAAGCACAAACCCCATCCAATTTTTTGGTACTTGCTTTTCCCTTGCCCTGGCCCTACAAGTATTGCCAAAAACTTACGCATTGCTGGCGCTTAATTACAGGCATTCGTGGGGTTCTCACACACACACACACACATGCACAGACACCCTGTGCTATTGCGGCCTGCCTGTTTGCAGAGCGTGTCTCTCTTGTATGTGTGTGTTCCATTTGCCAAAACGTTCCGCTTGCGCTCCTTGCCATCCGCAAACGCCAAGTTCCACTCAGAATTCCGTTTGCTGGCGTCGCGTGCGGTGCGTTGCGTGTTTCTTCTGATTGGAAGCCGTTTGACGGTTTTCTTTGACGGTAACGGTACTTCGTCTGTGCGACTGGATCTGCCTATGTGTGTGTGGGTGTGTTTGTGTGTGTAGCGGCTGCAGACTCCGGGACATCTGTGCACAACTCTGCCTAAGTGTGTGTGTGTAAGTGTGTTGTGTGCATTTCCCACTTGGCGTGTTCCCATTTCGCTGCCTGCACTTTTTTCGCCCTTTTTTTGTCGTTTCTTTGGCTAACTTGGTGCCGCCGCTGCAAGTGTGTGAGTGCGTGCGTGCGCGCGTGTGTGTGTGTGTGTCTGTGTGTGTTTACTTCATCATATGGCGCGCATTTTGCGTGCTTCGCTTCCTTTTCCCTTTGCCTTTGTCATTGCCTTGTAGCTGGGCCAACTTCCTGACGCGTCCTTTTTATTATTTTATTTATTTTCATTTTTTATTTGTTTTATTTTTGTTCTTTCTTTTTGCCAACACGTTGATTTCATGCTAAATTTAGCAACTTTATGCGAGCGTTTATTGTGTGCATAACTGTCGCTTCTGGGCGCTCCTTTAAACAGCTGCACATGCAACTTTCTATATGCTTGATATCATATTGTAGCGAATTATAATTTTTAGCTGCGCTGCGCCTCGCTGCACCTACACGTCTCCAACCGCCAGGCGACTCGTTGTGCAGTCAAATGCAAATTTCATTTTATGTTTTTGCATTCATGCAAATCAGTATTTACGAGCATTACTTGGACTGCGCTTTTGCCTGATGCTGTCTAACACCAAACAGGGTGTGGTTTAATGTGTGTGCGTGCGCCTGTGTGTGTGTGTGTCTTGTCAAAGCAGTTAGCAATTCTAGTTAGTAAAGGATACGTACAGGATAATCGTATAAGAATTTCGTATAACTAAGTTACCTAGACAAAATTAAAATTAGAGTTGATAAATTTTTTATGAAGACATGCTTCTAAAATCTAAACCTAATATTCAACAATTTTAGAATATCATTTATTAGATAATGGTGAGGATATGCTTGAAATTATTAAAGACATAACAAATCTAAAAAGGATATATAATAATAATTAATCAAAATAATTATATGAATTATGTTGATAGTAACTATTAAAAGTGTTTAAAATAAATACATAAATAAGCAATAATAAAAATAAATATTTAATTAAAAAAACTTTTTAAAATAAAGTTTTTCATAATTTTGCTTTAATTATTTTCATTTTATTTTGACTTAGTTTTTATTATGTTTGAACATATTTAAACTGTGATTAGTTTCTCATTTATTTGTATGCCTATTTTACATAATTTTCATAATAAATATTGCCAGTATTCTGAGCTGATTATATGTACATAAAAAAAAAGTAATCAAAGAACTTGTTATCCATGTTTTATAGCTCAACAAATATTAAACAAAACATGTGCTCAGCAGCAATTTGTTTTATTTGCCATAACTTTCACAACTCGTTAGGAAAGTCCAAAAAGTTCTGATATTTTAACACCATTCAATTTACTTTATCAAGTTTGTTTACTTTTCGAACTGCCCTACCTAAGCAACACTTACTAATTGGCGAAGTTGGAGAATTTTCACACCAGAACATTTAACTGGCAACCCTTCAAAGTTATCAAATGCAGCTGGCTAACAAATTTTAATAAAAGTAACTAACAAAAATAAATAATATCTGGAACCTCATGTTCTAGCGGAAACTCATGAAAATGCAGGATATTACACAAATACAGATAAACGACAACAACACGAAGTAAAAGATGAAGAAGAAGAAGGACATTGCATAGGCTAAAGCTGAGAGTCTAAGTCTAAGTGGTATAAACGAAATGTAGGAAGTCAGGAAGTTTCATCTGCGGTTGGCATGAGACCCAACTGTGAATAACAGCAGGATGTGCGCCTCTAAGGATGTCCAAAGACCAGCAAACAGATGATGGGCCGTGCGCGCGCTCTCTCGCTCCCTTTCTATCCCTCGCTCTCTCTCTCTCTCTCTCTCCTTCGTCGTCTAGCTAGCCCGGTCTCTCGCTCTCTGCTCAGCTCGCTCATTTCGAATATATTCCAATACGCTCTCGCTGCACATTTTGGTGGTGGGAAATTTTCCGTTTAGCCTAGGCAGTTGAAGATTTTCACAATTTTCATCGGCTCTGAGGACTTTTCCAGACTGCTGGCCGCTCATTGTGTCGATTGAGTTGCTTGTGACAGGACAACGGTGTCGGATAGTCAAAAGTTTGGCTTCTAGAGCTCAGCATTAGCGCGCACCGACTGAATGCAAAGGATATACAGACACGGGCCGTACCGCTGCTCTCTGCCCGCCGTCGCTCCACATGCATAGTACATAGGCGCAAAGCGAAACTTATGTGTGTGCCTGTGTGTGTGTGTGCGTATGTCGCGTCGCGTGTGCGCGAGTGTGTGTGCATGTGTGTGCGTGTGCTTGTGTGTGCCAGCAAATGAGCACAGTGAGAAATTGTTAAACAAAATGCAAAAATAATTCATGTTTCTGAATGTGGCGCAAAAATAATACAAATTAAATATTTTAACTGCAAATGCGAAATCAAATCCCAAATATAAATAATTATATATATATATATGTGTTTGGATTTGTATATGTAGCAAGTGTCGTTTATTGTGAAAAATGTGCCAGCCAGTGTGATTTCCAGTGATTGCAAACTAAACAAAGCAATCGGAAAAGCGACAGAAAAACTCGCCGCGTAGAAAGCTGCACACAGTTGAGAAGAGGCAGCAGCAAACAAAAAAAAGAAGTAAAAAATTCCAAGCACCACATGAAAATCAATAATTTTCGGATTAGTAGCTGTTGTTGGTATTTCGGCAAAAAGGATTCAAAACAAAGTAAGCAATAAAAACAAAGTACATATATGTTTTTTTTTTGTTTTTTGTTCAATAATACCACAAAGTGAAAGTGAAGTACAAAAGTCTCGGCGCGATTCCAACTGCAAAGCAAAGTTGCACAATAATTTGTTTAAATAATTTAAAACTTTTCAGCAGCAGCTTAAATTTAGAGTAGTTATTTTTTTTAGTTGGCGCTTAAAATAAATTTATTTATTTGAATTTTAAATATTTTTGTTACCTGTAGCAAGCGTGCCAAAAAATGATATCAAATTTGTTAACGCTCTGTTTTATTTAGTGCGGGTGTGTGTGTTCGTTTGTGTGTGTGTGTGTGCGCGCGTAGTTGAGGTTAACACACCTTAGACATATACACACACGTCGCACACACACACACACACACATGCACAGAGAGCGCGCGTTGGGGCTCTCGACTCGCTTCTCTTGCTCTCGCTTTCTCTTTCTCTCTCTCTCAATTTGGCAGCCCCACACAGTTCTGGGCTCTGCTCCTGTGCGTATGCAGCAGTTTTTTGTGTGCCCCCCTCTTGGCGGCAGGCATGAAAAATCGATCGATTCCGCTCGCCTGCCCCCCAAATGTCCCACCACGTCTGACGCTACAATAATGTGCGACCGGATAGCCGAGGGCAACCTCCCCACAGGAAAGCAGGACCCTCCCCACGACCCGGCTGCCGCGCTTATCAGCTAGTCGAAATACTCCATTTGTAGTATTCGTACTATGCAAAGGAATTGGCAGCACTGTCTGCAAAATTTCTACGAGTACTACGCACATGCACATGTGTGTGTGTGTGCGTGGGTGTGAGTGTGTACTTTTTTTTGTTGGGGTGCTTTTTGCGCATTTCTCATTCCAGAGAGTTGCGAATGCTTTGCAGACTTGACGTCCTGCGCTCTCTACCTTCACTCTCTGGCACTTTTGCCCTGCTTCTGCTGCTGTTCCCCCTGCTGCTGCTTCCTCGTGCTGCCTCGGTTGCGGCCATGTGCTCTGCACTTGTTCTTGGCATTTTGCTTTTGCTTAGCTTTTCTTGCCGGTTTTTTGTTATTTGCTTTCATGTTTGCTTTTGTCGCTGTCTTTATAAGTGGCTTCAAAGAGAGGGAGAGAAAGAGAGAGAGAGCAAGCGCTCCTCAACTGTCTGAACAAATGGCGAAATTATTGAAATCAAACGAATTTTTGTGTCTGGAATGTTTTGGAAATTTCGAATTTTCGAATTTTCGAACATTGCTAAAAATCCTATAAATCATTTTTTTTTATAAACTGCTTGAACCTTAATAAAGCCCAAAAATCGCTGCGCAAATTGTTTGTCAAAAATTTCGTTTGATTGAAAAACTTATATAAAAAAAATAAGATGAAGAAACTAATAACTATAATTCAAGAGTCAATAATAACAGCAACAACAACAGCAACTTTAATCTAGCAATTTGCCAGCAATAATGTAATCAGTAAATTGCGTCTACACTTTGGGGCGAAAATAAGAAAATAAATAAACCATAAAAAAAGAAAAGACAAAGCCTCAAAGCGTTACGAAGATGCTTTACGAAAAAAAAAAAAAAAAACAAAATAATATATACATAAATCTACGTGCCAGTCAGAAAATAATAAAGCCGCGTCTGAGCAACAGACAGTGAAGCATGAGCAAAGTGTGGCACAAGACTCTGGTGCACAGTGGTGCGAGATTGGGTGTAAAGGCTAAAGAAAAATTGTTCCACTTAAAAATGAATAAATAAAATGCCAGACAAGTGTCTTAATCTTTGCAAACAAGCAACGCGTGGGTTGGGGACTTAAGTACCAGACGAAGCTTTTCGATTTTTGTAATATTTTTGATATTAGTTGGTATTTTCAACTGACATCGATAAGATATATATAAATATACGTATATATATTTTTTATTAATATGTATATTATCTAGTTTTAAAGAATTGGCAAATTCAAACGCTTTGATTTTAACAGTTTTTTAGAGAAAAACTGTTTTATTTTAAACCTTGGAAAAGTTTGATAAGCGTAAATAAAGCAACATTTTAAAAAAATTGGGAATTTTTCTGAGAAATTCAAAAATTTTAAATTAAATAAACATAATAAAAAAGAAGAGTTTTGGTCATTTGCATATTTTATGCGCAATAGATTTCCAGCTAGAAGAAAGGTATCTTAGATTTTAAGCGACGCTTGGCATTAATAATAACCTAGCTAATAGGCAATTTTTTAGGTTTATGTTTTGAATAACATAAAAAACATTAAGAGAATTATAGAAAATATATCCAATTGCTTGCTCTATGACCACACTTTTCTATCAACCCTTTTCATTCATGCTTGCTCCACTGTGCACCGCTTTGGACCATTGACAGCCATTGGCAGTTGTGTTGATGTTATCGCCTTGGTCCACATCCACCAACCAACCGCCAATGCGCTGAGGGGGCTTTCAACGGTGTGGGAATATTTCAGACAGCAAAAGCAACAAAAACAAGCCTAAAACTTCTTGCCACCTCAGAGCTTTGATATTTCCTCTCGTTGCTGTAGTTCTCGACCAAGTCAATATAATTGACTTATCTGCTGCATTGCTACGGTCTGAGCCAAAGACGCCAAGTTGCCGCCGCCGCCGCCGTCGCCGATCGCAGTGGTTGATGCTGTTCTTTTGAAGAGGCCTCTTCGTGAAGAGACCTCTTCGCTGCGGTTGGCAACCTGGCATAATAAAGCTCGCTGGCCTCGTATTTGACTTATTGCGGTCGGAACTGGACGTTACACAAAAAGAATTTCATTGATCGGGTCGAAAAAAAAAAGAGAAGAAAGAAGAGAAACACGTGAAATATTGGGTCATAACTATTGATTGGGTTTGCCTGCGCCTTTGCGGTCAAATTGAAAGCAAAATATAGAAAAGTAGAAAAAAAAACGGCAAATAAAAAATTATGTTTATGCAAAATATGCCCATCCCCATAGATTGCCGACTTCCTTCTGGGTGCCGCAGCCTCTGCCATAAAATAATTATCATTGATGCCGCAGTTAATTCTTTCATTTTTTTGCTGCTCTTCAGTCCGCCTCAGTCTGCCTCTAATTGTCTATATCAAATTCAGTTATATGATACGCAATTTTCCACTCACAGCGACAAGTCAAGCCGCAAATGCAATTTGTTTGAACCCTAACCCAAAGTTTAGCTCTGCGTCGCTGTTTTTCCTTCTGCTTCGCTCTACGCACGTCTCAGGCATTTGTTCTGCTGGAAATCTTATATAGAAAATGTAATTTTCTTTTTATTATTGTTTACATTTTGCAAAATATACAATTTATTTGTGTGACCTCGAAGCAGAATTTCGAGATGCACGTTAAAAATTTGCATGCGACGAGTTCGTGTGTGCAAAATGTTTAAACAATTTTTATTACTAGACTTTTTAAGAATTTGTAAAATCTGGCGGGGCATAATTTTTGTGGGTATCTACCCAAATTATGAAATTTTCAACTTTATTAAAAGAGAAGAATAAGTTTAATTCCTTTTTTTAAATTAAAAAAATTGTGAGTTTTTCGTCAATTTTTAAATCATTTAAATGTGTTCATATCAAAATAAAGACAACCTCTGAATAATTTTGACAAAGGATATATATTATTATTGAAAAATAATTCATTATAATATTTCGTAAGTAAAAAACTAAAGTTCATTATAATAAGAATAAACTAATTTATTTTATATACGGTAAAAATCAAACCTCATTGCCCGCTTTTACCTTCGTGTTTAAAGGCGTGGCAATATAATAGGATATAATATATTATAATTAGAATTGCGTATTGTAAGATTTTCTTTAGCATATTTTTCATTCATTACATGCCCATGCCCCGCCGCCAGATGCATACATATTCATTTATTTATTTGTCTGAAGTTTCAATTTTATGTGCTGTTTGACAGACGGCCGTATCGGTATTTCGCTTGGATATTCCAAGGGCTGGCCATATTTAATGCCAATAAATCTTTGTTTGCCTGTCTTTTGGTCTTGCTGTTTTTTTTTTTTTTTTTGGCCTGCACGCCTTCTGTGCGCCTTGTGCTCGCCTTTGAGGCTGGCGAAATAAAATTGAATCTTTATGAATGAAAATTCCGCTTAATGCATTCGTCTCGGCCGCTGCGTTGTCCACACATGTGAGCCGCATGTTCTCAGTGGCCGGATCTCAATTCCCATTCTTCAAATTGACTGGGTTACTCTTAAGATCGGCATTTTAGAAATGTGTCTCATGGCATTTGCTCAGTTTGAAGCATGCAATATATTTATTTTGCTTGATTTTTGTTTGGTTTTCTAATGGAATTTCATAATATTTGCATTGGCAACTTCCGCTCTGGAAGCGCTTTAAATGCTAACGAAGGCCTCACAAAGAGTCGAACACCCCCAATTCGCATTGCCATCCATTCTTTTTTTTTTTTTATTTTTTTTTGTAAATACATTTTCCACTGCATTCCGCTGCTAATTGACGACAATTAAAATTTATTAGCTGGCAACAGCAATTAAACGCAAGACCCGCACGCAATTTGCAACGCTCCGAGCAAAAGAAGATTTTATAATTTCCAAACAAAAATGCATAAAAAACTTGAAGTTTGTAAATTGACAAACTTTTTTATATTTTGGAGGGTATCCAGTGGAAATTAATATAAAAAAATAGTTGGGTAAATTATTGTTAGTTTCCTAAGATTGCAAACTGAATGTAAATTCGATTGGAAGAGAAATATATAATATTTAACTATAACTTTTTTTATTTAAGTAGTGAAGATTTAAAGCCTGAAATACTTTTTAATCTGAAATTTTAATATTGAGAACGACTTAAAAATGGTTCGTTAGCAAATTCCTTAACCAGTTCCCAAACATTTTCCTTGGAATTACGTAATAAACTTGTGAAATGTTTGAGAAATTGATTTATTTATAAAAAGAATCCCAAGTGCTTGCTGGCGAAGCATTGAGTACCTCAGTTTGAAGGTTTAGAAACACGGTACAAAAAAAATGTATATAATTTTTGTTGAGCTAAATCAGGCTACGGCTCCAGTTGAGGAACTTCCTCAAATTATTATATACGCTATCTAAAAACTACATCTTAGCGTGCATTTGAATAAAATATAGCTGCAAATCATTAGGGAAAATTATAAGCCATTATAATAGATTTCTGTTTATTAACTAGAACTAAGCGAAGTTGTTCGTATCTCAAGCTTCATGCTAAATAATCTTTTGATTTGTTATTCAATGAACAAGCTGAGAATTGGTTCACCGAGCTAGCTCAACATTGCTTCGAAGCTTAAGCTTAGCAAATATTTAAACTTTGCTCCTAAAACTCATATTGTAATTAATTATTGTTTCCTTTGTGAGTTTTTAAACTACGCTCAGTTCGCATATTTTTGGCAGCATTTCTCTGCGACTCTTTGTTTGCCCCGAATGGCGAGTGGAGAAGTGCGGAGTGTGGAGCCTGGGCTGGCCAGGGCGCATCCACTCGACAATCAATCACACTTAAGTGGCTGCAGCAGCGGCAGCTTGAGATGGCAGCCGGCATTAGCAGCTAATCTGCATATTGTGTCAAATGGAAAATATGCAGCAGCAGCCACAACTCGACTCGAAGTTTATTTATTCGCCAAGTGGCACTTGCAACAAATTGCCAGCAGCTGCAGCTGCAGCTGAGGCAAATGAAAGCTGCGGGTCGCTAAAGTTTTGCCCCAAAGACAAAGACAAGAGCTTGGATGGGCACAAAATTAACACTGCGCTACATGAACGAAAGAAACTGCAAAAATCATAGCAAACAAATGAAAATCAATAGAAATTGCAACCCTAAGCAAGAAATCATAGTGTGACCAGAGCCAAAGGCAAAGGCAAAGTCTCTGTGCCGGGTGATTGCCCTCTTTGCCGGCTCTGCGGTTGTATTTAAGGATATGCTGCCTATATAGTAATACACACACAAATATATATATTAGTATGTGTATGTGTGTGTGTGCGTCTAACCCAGCATCCTTTTGCCAGGCAGGCACAATTCACATGTGATATTTATGTGCGCTCGCGCGTCGCATCCTTTTTATTGTACTCTACAGCAGGGTGGCAATAACGAAGAGTGGAAGAGAGGAAGAGCGAAAGAGGGGGCAGGGGTGTACGGCTGGTGACGACAAATGGCAACCTGAGTGCGGCAATACTTGTGATAAATCTGTACAAAGAAATTAAAAAAAAAAAATATGAGTGGTTGCGACACATACACACAAATTCAGGCACAACTCAGGTGCCCCCTCAGGCACCCCTCAGATGAAACAATACAAAAAATAAACTGAACTCGGGTGCTATAAAAATGTAAAATTCATTCAGAACAGCCGCAACAACAACAAAGGAAGAAGAATAAAGAAGAAGTGACAGCAACAGCGTGACTGCGCATAAATACGTGGCCAAATAACAAAGCTGTGAGAAAAAGAGAGTAAGAGAGAGAAAGCGAAAAGGAGAGAGAGTGAAAAAAGCTACAGGAGTGCGGAAGAAGCTGCCGAAGAAGTGCACCACTGCAGATAATCATTGGAATTGCCAAAGGACAGCGCAAAAATGTTAGTTCTTAGCTTGTGCTAAGCCTGGGATAAATGTACCACATAAAACATGTTGTGATTTAGAAGAGAAAGAAGCTTTAGAAATGTGAGTAAATCAAGCTTGGGACATAAACCAAAAAGTGGAAGTGCGCCATTTGGGGGTTCCCGATAAGGGGTTACCCAGAACCTTTTTATACCAATACTAACTGAGAGATTCAAACGAAAAAACAGAATATCGAAATCGTTTTTTATCGATTTCTTGGAAACGGGCAAGTTATCGATTAGCAGAAACAAACTAGTACTGCGCGAGCACTCAAAGGACCTACGTTTTCAAGTCTCAAGCTCTTATAGGGTTCTGATATCGAAGTGTTCATACAGATAGATGGACGAACAGACAGACAGACAGGCATGGCTAATTTGACTCGGCTATTGATGCTGATCAAGGACATATATACTTTATGGGCTCAAAGATGCTTCCGTCTGCCTTTTACATATAGTTGCACAAAACTCTTTTTAGCCATTTTCAATGAGTAAAACAAACAAGAAATTTGTCAATTAGGGATATAAGAATAGGTATTTCCTTGCCATTATAGTTTGGACTGCAATAGACTGTTGCAGCTCTTAAAGTATTTTTGTGCACCAAACAACTCGTAATAAATAATTTACGAAATGCGCATAAAAATAATTAAAATTCTTGAATATTAACCATATAAAACTGGAGCTTTCGTAAGCGGCTTACCCGAAAACAATCCGAATTGATGACAGTTCAGCATTTTCCTGGAATTAAATAAATTCAGCTTTATTTAACATTTTCCAACAGCTGTAAAACATTTATATATTTATTTAGGTAACATATTAATTCCCATTGGTGTACTTTGCTTGATGTGACATCGTTTATTTTTATATGTTGCTGCAATGCCAGGCAATTAATTGTTGCCGTATTGCCACAGGATTCGATTTTCAATTAAATTAGTGTTCGGGGCTTTTGGGGGCATTAAGAGTGCGGCATGTTGAGAGTGCAGCAGCTACAGCAGGGAAAAAATAAATACAAATAAAATCACTCTGCTAAATGGAATGCAAACAAAATGCTCTATAAAAATGCAAATATTTAACCTTGATGCTAGTTACACAATGCGACCCGAACCGAATGCAACCCCCGCATGCAGCATGCCGCATGCCGCAGCCACACACGTGAATGTTGCTGTTGCACAAGTTGAATGGCCTTTTTAACTTGTGCATGGAAACAGTCGCCCCTTCGTTGCGTGGCAAATGCATTCGCATTCGTATTGATTCGAGGCGAGGCGAGGCAAGTCACTTTTTCAATTCGCAAACGCCTCCCATCGCTCACCCCTGCCGCATCGACAGAGCGTTCTACTTTTGCTTGCTTTGTGCATTTTCTTTTTGTTTAAATTCAATTTTAGTACATTGCACTTTTTGCGATGCGACGCGACGCGACGTCAACGACGACGGCCATGCCGGAAGTGCGGCCTGCCAGCGGCGGAAGGTGGCAACGTGCAACGGGGGCAATGTGAAAGGGCGCCACAGACAGGCAGACAGACAAACAGGCAGACAGTTGCAGTCATAGCTGTTGCTCTTGTTGTTGTTGTTGTTGTTATTCTTTTTGTTATTGTTTTTGTTATTGTTATTGTTTGGGCACACTGCCAGCAGCTCTTCCAATTTGTTGCTGCACTTGGGATAGCCCCAAGTTCTCTATTTTCTTTTAACCCTGCACCCATGCATAATGTCTAGAAAGGGTATTTTGTATGTGTGGCAACAGTCGATAATCTATAAAGATCAGCATCTAAAGACTTCTCTTTGATAGTCTTTATGATCTCCGAGACTAGTTTAGAAAATTTGGTATGTGCTTATTGGTAGACTTTAGTCAGAAGAAAATTATAACAGACTGCATTTGCGTTTCGCCTTTTGTAGAAAAAAAATAGATTGACGATACTATGCGGTTTTCTGTATAACAGTTATATATATATCAAATTGGGGAATATATTTTAGGCTCCCGTTTAAAATGGCATCAGTTTTCCATAACACCCCCCCGCTAATCGTTAAATATATATTTGTGATAACCCACTATATTTACAGGGAATCTTTTAGGCGAGCTGTCATATGCATGCTTATTTTGTTTTTTTTATTTTTGGACACATTTCATGCTTGATTCAACAACACTCAACAACAAAGAGACGACGAAAACAAAACAAAACAACAAACATTTCTTATTGGCAAAAATTTGAAATTTCTATAGCTTCTTCCGAAACCTTTCAAATCGATGCATGTAGTTTGTGGTTCCTTAAGCATTGCATGTAAAACGCAACACAAATACAACACACGAAAAATTACTTAATTCGATTGCTGAAACAATGTAATCAGCAATTGGCCAAGTTCTGTTGAAGCTCTCTTGGCCCTAATGGCACTCGAAGGCATTTGCCAGACACACGCAAAATATTTGCCCATTTTCTTTTGCTTTGCCCATTGCGAGCTGTCTGCAAATTTAATTAAGGTGTTATTACCTCTAGTCAACACCTTGCAGGCGTTCGCATCGGCAACTGTTACAGAAGAAAAAAAGTTAATTTCCAGAAAACAGCTTCCAGGAAGGCAGTTAAGTGGCGGCACAAGCTAAACGAAGGCGTAGCTCACGAGCTGCTGTTCCTTGGTTTTCATTCCAATTTAATTGCTCTGTTCGAATATGGTAGCTTAAGTCTCGTTTTGATCAAACAAATTGTGATTACAGCACACGCAAAAAGGGAGCGAGCAAGAAGTGAGACTGGGAGAGAGAACACATTCAATGCCGCGAAGGGCGTTAGTTAATGAGCTTATAATGATAATCGGCTTGGTATGCAGGCAAATATATTCCCAAATTATAAATAATCATATTAGTAATGAGCTTTGTTTTAGTTGTAACTACAAATATTTTGCTAAATAGATTATACAGCCTAACTGGAAAATAATACAAGCTCGTTTGAATAAATATTTAATATACTATTCTATATCCAGATTTATTTAATGTTAAAGCTCACTTATTTATGTCCATATAAATATATTATTGAAAAATAATAATCAGCATATTAAAAGCATTTGCCTTTCGATTGCTTAATAAAAATAATTTGTCTTAGTCTATTACTTCTTGAAAACTTTTCTTTCATTAAATTCATTCGAACTTGTTGCAAATATAAGCCCAATAAAAAAGCTTTCTTTTAAAACTGATTGAACAACTCCCAAGCTGCTACCAGTTTTTGTTTTTGCTTGTATTAAATGTTGAGCGTCTTATTTTTACATCTCTTAACAGCCAATAAAATAACCTTACAGCTGTAGTATGACACTTGGTTATGCTTTTAATAATAACCAATTCTTAAAATCCGTCTTAGCACTGAATTTATTTTCTATGTCGAACTTCTGTTAACAATTTCTTCATTTCGAGCACTTCATATTAAAATCTGCGGCTTAATCGTTGAGTTATGAATAGGCTGGCTCTACTATATCAGCATTATGAGGTGTAAACGAGCACAAACAAGACAGGTAGTTCAGGTAGGCGCTTACCTTAGACTGACATTATCAACAGTCAAGCGAGGCTCTTGAGGGTCAATCTTAAGCGGCTTACAGCTCGTCGGGCTCAGTTATCATTATCGCTGAATTCCCAATTAGTTGGATTCACTCCTCGAGCCGAGCCAGACCGGGCTGAGCTGAGCTGCATATGCGGGCAGTGGGCGTGTCACCAAATGTTGTTAACACATAATTTGTAGGCTACCTGGCACCGACGACTCGAGGAGCCGACAAACGAGTCAAAAGTATCGCGTTACCTGTGCGTGCCGCAAGACGAGGCAGCAAGTAGGACGGACTCTTGGGCTGTCTGTGCTACTGTGTTTACCCTTTCGACGGGAATTTCTTTACTTTTTTTTTTTTTTGAAGCTGGGGCCCTTCGCACATGATATGCAAATATTTGCGTCTACATTGTCCGGCCAAGCCTTTTCGGGCTGAGGCAGAAAAGTGCGTAATGACTTTATTTATGAATACGATTCCCGGCCAGAGACAATAGCTCCCGAGGCGTAATTCAGCCAATATTTGCATGACAGCATAAAGGAGGCCCGCTGGCAGACCTCTTGGCCTATTTGTTTAAGTCTCCAGTGTATATTTTCTCATTTTTTTATTTAATATTTTTGCAAGTGTTGACGGGCCTTGCAGCCAATAAATAAGCGCTGCATTAACGAGTTTTCTCTGAATTTTACAGATTAAAAATATGTCGGCTCGTATATCATCTTGGAATTTAAATAGTTAAACAACAGCTCAATTAATCACTGTCTGTTCAATTTCTCAAAAAAAGGGCGACGCTTGACATTTTCCCTGCACAGACCACAATTGGGCAAGTTGAATACGGGGCAACGAGAGGTGCTGTGTACACGTTCCTGTTTTCCTGTGTCCAATTCATGTTTGATGAAGCACCTCGGGGCGGAAATAATAGGCGACCCTCAGTCGCAGTTCCCCTTGTGCAGACCCAGTTTTAGTCACCCCTAGCTCAAATAGGCGCCGCTCCCGAATAGTGGCCCTCGGCTCAATCTAAATATTCCCCGCCGCTGTCTGCTTTCTATTTATTTTCAAATGTACGCTGTGGTTGACTACCTGTGTGTCAGTGTGTGCGTGTGTCTGGTCTGTGTGTGTGTGTGTTGTGCTTTGGGATTTGTGAGCAGATTTGCGCGTGTTTTTGCCCGCCCCTGTAGGGGCTTACGCTCACGTATTGTGCGTCTGTTTGTGTGTGCCACGCGCTACAGAAAACAACAAAATAGAAATCCTTCCTTTTGACAGGACCTCGTATGCGCGTCGTCGCCTTTGATAAAGTGCTCTTGAATATTTTATGGCAACCAGAACAGACACTCTGTGTGTCTGTGTGCGTGTGTGCTCTATTGTATGCTTTAAATTTCCTGCTAAATGCTTAGTTTCAATTTACATAATATATTCTCGCAGGGGTTGCGCCCGCAGTTTCTGCCAAAACATAAAAAAATAGATTGAATTTTGTATAATTTAATAATCTTTTTTTTTTTCTTCTGTTAATGGTTTTCACGGAAAAGGATATGCACGTTGGGGCATGCAGTTTGTTGAACTCTATCTAGCTCAAAAGGTTGTGTTTCTCCTTTTTTTTTTAACTATGCGCCTCAAATTTATGATGCGTGCTCAAATATTCGTATGCTTTTATAATATTTAATAAATAGGCCCTTTGTGTGTGTGTGTGTTTTTTTTGTGCAGGCAACATTTGGTTTTTTTGGTATATGTTTTGAAAAATTATGAAGTAGCTGAGTTATATTTATGTCGCTTGTTTTTAACTTCTTGCAAATATTCTAAAATTCTTATATATATTTTCTAAAATATGTTCCCACATATATATATTTTAAGATTTTAGATTAGGAATTGGATGTAATCAGATAAAAATTTTAATTAAAAGGAGAGAGCATGTGACTTATTTAATCAAGCTGATGTTGATGTTGACGTGATACAGTTAGCTGAGGAATTGAGAGACAAAGCCAGGCAGACCTAACAGCCGCAGGCAAGCTTTATGTACTTAATTGAAGTAAGAAATCAAGTCTAGATTTAAGTTTAGAAAACTGCTTCATATATAAGCTTAGCGATTTGCCATATACAAAAAAAAACGAGTTAAAATATTATAAATGTAAAGCAAAGTAGCCCATTTTTCTTAGACTGCATGCCTTGATATTATGGCAGCAAATATTCCCCAGTAGCAATTTGGCACCGGGAAATTTGACACCCAAGAAACACATAAAATGCCCAACTCTATGACGCATTCCTATAGATTATTTACGAGCTGTGCTTTCGACGCCCACCCGAAATTGCCATTCACTTTCGACGCCTTTGAGCTTCAGTTTGGCTTAACGACTTTGGCTATTGTCAACATCTATTTATTTCTCACCTTCTTTGTTTATCTATGGGTCCGCATCTTAATTGCAATTAGCTATGAAAATGTAACCATAAAACGGTACCAGACTCTTCGGCAAACCAATCTGTAACGGGTCTATCTATGCGATCTGCTAATCAGTTGCCTACTTACTAGGCAGCTACTACTACAAATTATCCAGTGTTTGTCATTTGCATAACTGGCTGCTGCTTACCACTAATAAACCCGTTGCTCTTGTAACAAGCTATCGCGATCAATGTTTATAAATCATATACGATTTGTTTGGCCTCTTTGTAAAGCTCTTTCGGTTTCAGTTTCGGTTTGAATTGCCGAAAAACCTAAATAATTTCATTGTTTTCACTAATTTGATTGGCGTCAAAAATTCATTTGAAATTCGCAGCGCTGCTGATTAATCAAAAAGTGGTTTTGTTATACCCTGCAAACGTTTAATGAGGGTTATGCACAGTCGTGTGAGTTGTATGAGACGGGTTTAGTAAGTCAAGAGCTGAGTCATCGCAGTTCAGCTGCAAGAGAGTACATTTTGTATGGTTTTCCTATACCCTGTAAGCGATAAATAAATGTTATGGTAATGTGTGTAACTGGTATGAGACGGATTGAGTCTGTCAGCAGCTGAGACATCTCAGTACAGCTGTAAAAGGTATATGTCACGCATTTAGATTATTTTTTCTAGACCCTGTAAATGTTCTACAAAGGTTATGCATAGTTGTGTAATTGGTATGAGACGTGCTGCACCTGTCAAGAGCTGAGTTATCTTAGTTCAGAGCTACATATAATACATGCGGTATGTAAGTCGCGTAGTATATCCAATTTATTTATAAATTCAGAGAACTCCATTTGCTCTCCTTCAAATCAATCAATTTTTATTAGCAAAACTTTGTGTTATATTACTTTTTAAGTTTTTAGTTTGACCTGTATTTTTTCTTGCGAGTGCTTTAGAGCTTAGCTACAGGGTATCTTGCAGCCACAATTTTAGTTGTAACATAATTTACCAGCATTTATTTACTTTTTTTTTTTGTACCAGATAAACGCAAATTTTTAGTGGCACTTAATTAAAAGCAAAGATAAAGCGAATAAAAAACAAGTTTCAAGTCTTACGAAAAACGCGCCTTTTACACAGCAATATGCACAGCGCTTCTCTTTGGCATAGCTGCATAAATTATATACAAATATATATATATATATATACATATATATTGGAATTTGATTTGGTTTATATATGTATATATGCATACATTCAAATGATTGATGCGTAATGCCAGCCAAAAGCCATACAGAGAATTACAAAAGCGAGCAAAAATGACGACCGCTTTGCATAAAAGCTGAAATACACTGCAAGATTTATTGGGGCAAGTTAAATAAATGCAGAAATTGTATTTTATATGCCATAAATAAATAGTGAGTTTTTTATATGTACAACATTATGTTTATATGATTTATACAAAATTATATAAATATGATTTAAACATGCCATCTCTAGATTGTTTATATTAAACGTTTTCTTTTTCCATTAAAATAATGAATAATTAAACAGTCCACAATTCAATTATTTCCTCAAAACAGCTCTAGTTATTATCAAACTTTCGTTTTTTGTATATATATTAATATGTTTTAATCCAAGCTTTAGGGCAAAGGCAAAGCTCTGTTGTTGTCCGGGCAAGGCTTATAATATGTTTTATTTTGCCACGCCCCGAAGGGCAGCTAAGCTGAGCATTTGCCTGCGGATATTTTGGCAGCCACACCCCCTACTCCGCCCTATCTAGAGGCACACGTTGGCCGCAATTTAAAATCGATTAAATATCGACGCCTGGGACCACCTGCTGTGCATCTGCTTTGGAGCTGGATTTGGCCGAGTTTTGTGTTCCACTTTTTGTGGTTATGGCAATAATTTTATTTTTTTAACTTCGTCCGAATGATAACCCAAGGCGTTGGCCGTAGATTGTTTATTAGAATTTTAAATTAAGGCGGCATTTTAACAAGTTTTAGTAGCTTAACGCAAAAATAAACGCAGCAAAGTCTAATGCAGAGCACTTTTCTGTACAAAAAAAGGTTGTGTTGTGCCTGTCATAAATATTTAAATAAATGCTTAGCACAAAGGTGCTTCTATATTTCGTTTATTAACTGCATGCGCTGAAATGCCAAAAAGGAAAGGGAAAACCAATAATAAAATAACAGAAAAGAAAACTTGACTAATGAAGCTTTAATTGTCGCGTTTTGATAGAGACAATATTACCAATATTTATTTCTCTTGCCAAGTTTTATTGATTTTTTTATTGTTGTATTGTTGTCTGTGTCGTGTTGGCCAATGGCATGCAATTAAAATTCATGGCATTTTTTTTTTTACTATATACAGCTCTTCAGTCCCACCCGCACAACAGGAAAAAATCGTTGTGCCCATTTAATATCATGCCACTCGACAGCTTTCACATATATCCAAAATTATTTCCAATATGCTTTGACCACTTTGATTGCCACATAGCCAATTTATGAGCCCTAATAACAAATCCGTAATATTAAACAAAACATTTACAGTAACAACATCAAAATATTTGTGCCTGCTTTTAGAGCGCTGCAATGTTATGAAATGTTGGGTTTGTGCTGATAAATGTTTGCCGTATTTAATTAAAACTAGATTGATGTAACTTTTAGGCGAAAGGTATTTGCGAAAGGTATTTGCATGCCTATCGCCAACTGGTGCCATGGCAAATGGCTGCCCAAATAAAATCTTTGTCGATTATTGGAATATAATAAACTTGTTAAAATAATTATAATTTATAAAGAATAAAAACTTTGTTATAATGTGGTAAAGTGTATGCTATTTTGAACTAAATCAGATTTGCGTATAATTTATATGACAGCTAACATACCCATTTTATGTCTCAAGTTCTGCTGAAGCAGACTTTGAAATTCCTGAAGTTTTGCCTTAAATGTAAATTTTTAATTATATTCAAAATTTAATGCAATTTAAATTTTCTAAATATTGTTATTTAATACTTTTTTATACTTTTAATACATTTAAATTAAAAGTTTGTTTTCAATTCTAAACATTTAAAACTTAATAAGTTCTTTCCTAGCTTTGGATTCAAATGGTTTTTATTTCATTCTTAATAAATTGTAAGTTCCTAAAAATTTGGAGCTCAATTAGTTTTCTCATAACCTAAAATACAAATGATTTTGTTTTTCCACTTTTCTTCCATTAACAACATCTTTTAAAAATGCAACTTATTTTTAGAGCTGATGCTACACAAAATGGTGCATATGCCCTTAGTTGATGCTCGGGGAGTTTTTCTCTCTCCTATAGCATATATCATCCCATTAAGAACAACTCTCCCAATCAACTACACAATTTGTCATTGTTTCAGTTTCCGACAAAGTCAATAATTAACATAGCCTTGTTATAGGATCGTTAGATTAATGGCAAGCATGTGCAGTCAGCTATCTTCTCTCTCTCTCTCTCTCTCTCTCTCTCTCTGATAGACAACCCAGTGTGCATCTCTTTCCCGAACTCTAGACCTTAATTTTTCGTTGGCTGCGTAAAGTGCATTTGCTGAACCCGAAATCCGCCCGATAATTACGCGTAAAAAGCAAATAAAACTATTGTCAACACATTGCAGCTCATAAAACTGGAAACGTGAAACGGCCAATATCGAAAAAAAATAATACAAAATATTTTTGACGTCTGTGGCGGCGCCTGCGCAGCTGCTGTAAATTCCGTATGTGCCTTCCTGGCCGGCGCCGGGTAACGTGTACCTTTGTTAGGGCTTAAATGACAGGGTGCGTGCCGGGTCTGATCCCGGGTTGGGTAATTAAAATAATGTTCACACACAGAGCAATTTTTCAAGGGCGGCCATGTGTGGCACACATTTGTACATGCACAGGGTGGAAATGTAATAATACAAAAAAACCAGAACGTAATACAAAAGCCATGAGTCGAGACCTAAGTAGAGCACGTCAGAGCACTGCATCAAAGGACAGCCGACACCTCGTAAGCAAAAATTTCAAATTCAGCGCAAAAGTCTTGACTGCGACATCTTGTCAGGGAAAAGGCAAAAAACACAGACTTCACTCTTTCATTCCCAAGCTGTCCATCTCTCTATTACCTCCCTCTCTCTTTCTCTCTCTCTTTCTCTCTCTTTCTTTCCCTGAGCACGTGTGCCAAATATCTTGAATATTTAATATTTTGCTGCTAATGTCATTAAAAAGTTTTCGCTTTGTGCAACATTTTGTGCTTCGTGTTGTACTGACAACCAATTTAAAAAGTAAAAAGTTCACAATTTGTATACTCTGTAATTATATAAAAGTTATAAAGGGTATGACAGAATTGTGCAAAATATTAACAGACAAATGTCTGTCAGCATAAAGCCTACCTAGTTGTCGGCATATTTATTTGACTATCAATAAATTTAGTACAAAATATATATGCAAGATAATCGCAATATTGGATTTTTTCAATTTATTATGCTAGGGTAATTTCTAGTCTTATTCAAGGGCACTCTTCCAAATGCTGACTGGTGGATAACTACTTTTTGGCTTTAATTTGTAGGTTTCTTTTTTCTTATAATTGATTTAAGTCAACGTCAGACAAATATTTGACTAAAAACTGATAGTTATCAAAGAAAATGGTTGATTAAGTAGACGTTTAAACTTTTTGAGAATCAGAAGCGAAATGACTTAATTTGTTGCCTTCCATTTCCATCTATCGAAGAACTTAAGCAATTTAATTAACTTCGATTTAAATGCGTTTAAAAAACCACATTAACTTTTTTGTTGATACTTTAATATAGAAAAAATAACACAAGAATTTAATATAATCTTCCTCTCACGTTTCTCTCATTGCAGCCTGTCGCAGCTACAGCAACAACAATGTATTGAATAGCCGAATGATAAACATTAAGGGTGTTCCCATATAAAAACCCCAAAACGAATGCGAGAGGGGAAATAAAAACAAACTCAATGAATAATTCAGGTGCAACGCGTAAAACCAGCAATTAAAACGACAAAAAACGAAAGAGGCCACGCGGCGTTCAATTTAATAATTAACTCCAAACAAACAACAACAAAGACTACAGCAGCAACAACAACAACAGCAACAACAACAACAGCAGCTCAACGCGTGCCCCCAACCAAAATGGCGGCACGACGTTGCCCGTTGGCGCCCCCAATGCGAGGACTCCAACCGCAAAGGCAACGTATGACCAGCATCCCGTTACCCGCCACCAGGTGCATAACTCACATGCTGCTGCTGTCCATGTTGCTGTTGCACCTGAGCAATATTGGCTTGGCGACAGCAACTGGCGAACAGCAGGCGGCCAGCTATGCTGGACTTAGTGCCGAAAATGCAGCCAGAATGCTGGCGGGCAGTCCCGGCGAGGCGGAGGCCAATGCTCAACATGGTGGCAACGGGCACAGCGAGATGTCGCTGGTGTTGCCCCATGATACCTATCCGGGCTTTAGCATCAAGAAATTCAAGACGCGTCCGCTGCAGCAGCCCAACGGCACAGCAGCTCATCATAGAGGAGCAGGAGGAGCTGGTGCTGCTGCCTATCACATGCTGGACAGCGACTATTCCAAGTACTTCACCGTGCTGGACGATGGCGTTGTGATGACCACAGCGGACATATCGCCGCTGGTGAATCGACCTGTACAACTGGTGGTCGTCGAGCAGACACCGAATGCGACCAATACGCATAATCTGCAGCTATTTGTCATGCATCGCAAGGATATGTTGCGCTTCTCTGGCTCCCTGCTGGATGCCAGCGGCGAGGTGCGCGAAAATCATCCGGCGGGCACACGTGTGCGTGGCGTGCCCCTCATGCAGGCATTCAGCGGATCCATATTGGATGAGGAACTGGCACAGCCGAAGAAGGTGCGCTACACCATCATCGATGGCAATGTGGATGATGCCTTTGCGCTCCAGGAACGTCGCGCCAATCAGAATGTTCAGCTGAATGCCAAATCGTTGGTCATCGAGGGCGACGATGAGTCGGGCGTGTGGCTGGTCACGAATCGTCCATTGGATCGCGAAGAGCGCTCGCACTATGATCTCTCCGTGGAGGCCTCCGATGTCGATGGCCTGGACAAGACAGTGTCTAAGATACAAATCACAGTGCTAGATGAGAACGACAATCGGCCCGTGTTCAAGTCGCAGGACTACAAGTTTGCCATTGCCGGCAAGAAGTCGCTAAATAGTGACAGCAACAACAGTGTCAGCTGGCAGCGCTTTGCCATCTTGGGCCGCGTCGAGGCCACCGATGCCGATGGCGACAAGATTGCCTATCGCCTGAAATCGCCCAGCAATGTGGTCATCATTGTGCCACAGACGGGCGAGCTAATGCTCGCCGGCGAGCCGACCACCAATGAGCTGCTGCTCGAGGTAATTGCCCATGATCTACGCTATCCCAGTCTGTTGAGCGCCCAGCCGGCCAAGGTGTTGTTGGAGTTTCTGGCACCCGAGCCGGTGTCATTTATAATGCAGCACCTGGAGCACGATGCGGTCAACGAGCATTCGCATCATCGGGAGAAGCGACGCGTTACGCGCGCTGTGCGACCCACCAAACGTATCGAGTTCACCGAGGCCGATGGCGACACCGAAGGCAAATCCGTTTTTCAGCTGGAGAAGGAAACGGATAAGGAAACGTTCAAAATACGCGACGATAATCCCTGGGTGACGGTCGAAACAAATGGAGCGGTGCGCGTGAAGAAGAAGTGGGACTTTGAAGAGCTTGGACCGGATAAGACTATCGATTTCTGGGTCATCATCACGAACATGGGACACAATGGTGAGTGGAGAGCATCAAATACCAAACAATTAAAAAAAAAAAATTTGCGCCAGTGTTGCACAATTAACAATAAATGTTTGTTGCGATAGTCGATAGCTTAATCGGTAATCCATATTAAAAATATTATCTAAATATATGAAACCTTTTTAAAACTAGTCCCACAAAACTAACATTATTAGTCATATTCGATAGATTTCCTAATCAAAAGAATTGATTAATTAAATCGACAGCTCAAAATAATATCGACATTTTTAGCAATAGTTCAATTTAAGAGTTGATAAATTGGTGTGGAGCAGATCTTTCTATTTCTCCAAAGTGCTTTTTAAATTACGCTGCCAGTTTTTGTCGCTGGTTTCTTACTTTACTCTCATAATTAGGAGCTGACATATTTAAATGTGTCAATGTGAACACATTATGAAAATTGAACGAACAGACATCCATTAATAGACGCAACAGACGAAGCTAAACTTAGGTTGGGCAATTAATGGAACTTAATGAGTTGGGCAATGAAATGGGAGCTCATTTGTAGCTAATGAAATAGGGGTTATGGGCGCAGGAAATAGTCTAAAACCATATGAAGTTGTGCGGGAGAAACTATTAAATAAAATTTTCGAATGCCAAAAATAATGATGCATCTAAATGGAAAATGTTCAACGCTGAATTGTAAGAAACTTTTTTTTTTGTTTTGGTTTTAGTAAGCAACTTTTATTGGTTTTCCACATGAAGCTTTCGCCTGACCACATCAATTAAATGCCATAGAACACATAAAATACAAAATTTCAATGCTCGACAAATTTGACTGTCAACAGCAATTTGTGTGCGTTGTGGGGAAAAGTGTTTGGTGTGCGCCCTTGTGAGGCCAGAGATTTTGCAACACTTGATGAAAACTCACAATTAAAAGGCAAATGCCAAAGCTATCCTGTGTGGCAAATGGGCATATACAAATATTTGGTTGTCATGACAAGTAATTACGCATGAAGCGAGCTGTACAAAGGGAATCAGTGCAGGGAGGTAACACAGACAGCTGGTGAGACAGTTGCCTGGTCAACATATTTGGCCATTGTTGCTGTAGGCCAGTCGTTTCAAGCGTAGCTCAATAAGCAAATATTGAAGCCTTTCAAACATGGCCAAGGATTCAAACTGAGCAGCCAATCAAATGTCTGCCTACCTGTCTGACTGACTGGCTGTCTGTCAGTTGAACTCTCCTCACTGTCTCTCGTTCTGATTCGTTAATGGCACAAAATGACCAAACAGTGGCACATTTCATGTCCACTGCAATTCTTCATGCCTCGAATCGATGCCACTTTGACATGACTCGCAAAAAAGTTCAACTAACTGACAGACAAGCTCATGAATTGTTGAAATATATGTGCTTGCTCCACAGCCCAGCACAATCAACAATGTTACAGTTTAAAACAACGTCTGTTGTAGTTTTGCTTTTTTTTTTAAATACCCTGTAAAGCAAAGCAAAAAGGGGCGTAATCACTTGGAATAGAGGAAAAGAGTATGTAAAAGGCGAAAAAATAACATCTACTTGAGATAAGTCAATCTATAGATCTCGGAGATTTCAGAATCTTTAAAAGCAAAAGAGTTTCAAGTAACTTTTACTAGAAAGCAGTATAAGTTCTGTATAAATTGCCGCGTTTCCAATCAGTCGATTAAAATCTATATCGAAATATCATTTTTACTCATCCCTCTAAACACATAAGGTATCTGTTATTTTATGGCTGCAGAAGAAGACTCATCGTAGCAACTAGTCGAGTATTCCCGACTAGAGCACTTTTGTTTTTAATTTTTCTGTCTAACTTTCGCATAAGTGTCTAATAAATCCCACTGAGTTATGTGTGCTACTCCAGGCCTGGGTATATCCTAGTTGAGCACTCTCAACTAAACCAAATTGACATGTTTTTCTTTTTCATTTGCTGCATTTTTTTCGCGTTGCACTCGCTAATTGTGACAGGCAGCAGAGCTGGGTCTGGCCCTGGTTCTGGGATTGCGCCGCCTTTGGGGTTAGGCTGGGGCTTTGCGCTGTTCAGCCTGCTGTTCAGTTGATTAACAATTTTTCATAAATGCATTCATGTTGCAACTGCATCAACTGTCGCACTTCATCTGTTTCATTTGCTCGCATTATATGCTTTTCAGTTGATGATTTTCATTAAAATTTTATTGATTTCCTCAACGCATGCGAGAGGAGAATAAACTTATTAATTATGCATGCGACTCTTAAGTGCACGCAGTTAAGAGTTGATGGAAATAGTTGAGCTGCAGGTAGAATATGAATCACAACTACTTTCATAAAAGTATTATGTAACTTTCGTTTACCAACACTTTCTGAAGGTAGGTATAGTGGAATGCTCTAGATTTTTTTGTTGAACAAGAGGTTAACTACAAAATAAACTAACCTTATTCATTATTTAAGCCAAGCAAATTTTGACTTTAGGCTTAAGTTAAGTCATAATGATACATTTTTTAACACTGCTTGCATTGTCCATCATTTACCAGCACTACTGAGTTCTGAGAACTTGGAAGCATCTTATTTCATGGCTTCCTTGTGAACATTCACCAACACTGCCCGCTTCTTAAGTGGCTCAATTTTGTAATGCTCAGCAAGCCACTTGAGAGCATGCCCGAAAATCATTATCCTTATCCCAAGCACTCGCATGCTAAACCCAATCAATAGTCCTAAGCTACAAGTATATCTTGTTTCTCAAAGAGGCAGGGGTTGCGACACAATCTCGTATGCGTTGCACATAGAACTGATTGTTACGGTTGCTGCCTCTTGCAACGCGAGTACGTGTGTGTCACGCACAGGCAACAAAAAAAAAACAGTAATAGATATACAAACATATATGTATAGGTTGGCAGTGCCTGTGAGGCCACTTGTGTGCGCCAGGACATAAATGCCAGATAAACATAATTCATTTAGCAGAAGAGGAACCCAACTAAAAACACTTGACAATGCGTTGCACTTGGCGTAGGCGTCGGCATAGTTTGAGGTTAGTTTCTGTTTTTTCTTTGTTAGTTTTTTTTTGTTCTGGGAAGGCAAGTACAAGAAATTTACGACAATATTTTTCATTCATTTAAAATGCTACGCCAATACACACTAGAGGGACGGTGAAGAAGAGAGAAAAGGGAGAGCGAGGGTGGAAAGAGAAAGAGCGAGATATGAGAGCACAAGACAGGCGGTAAATGAAACGAAATGAAAATGAAACGAAATGAAAAGCTGAGCAGCTGCTGAGCATGCGCAGAGTGAAATAAGTTTTGAGAGAGTTTCAAGCGAGAGAGAGCGAAGCTGGGGGTTGGGTGACAGACGGCAAACGCGTGCCAAGTCCAACAGGAAAATGCTCGTAACAATTAGAATAACCACCGCACCAATCTCTCATACATAGAAAAGAAAAAAAAAAAAACAAAAACCAAAGACATGAAATGGGGTTTTGTTAAGTATGAATGCCTGATTGGATGCAGTATTGCAAATTGGGGAGGCATACTCGACTGTGCGGGCGCTGGAGTTAGCTGACTGATTGAGTTGCCCACTTGAATGGCGCGTGTTTGTTTTAGAAATTTTCCAGCGCATTGTTTTGCCCAAAAATTTATGCACTGCACACACGCACGCACACACACACATACACACACAGCGTCTGCCCCAAGGGTGGCTTGTATTTTTTTTATGCTCTAGCATTCCGTCACTAATGCTAAAACATAGCGCACATGACGAAAGAAAAGGGAAAAGCGCTCAAAAGAAAGGGGTAGCTACTAGCGGGTTTTAATACCCTTCAGAGTCTATGCCAATTTGGTGACAGAGAGTCCAATAGCCCATAAAGCACATATATTTTTAATATTTGGTAATCAAAACAGAATTGATGGAATTTATCATAAGTTCAAATAAACAGGCGATCATAATGCTGCCAATATACTCGTTTGATAATATACGCATATATCAAATGCAATCCTTCAATGAGGAAATAGCTCGCGAAATATAAATATGACACAAGATGAATAAAGAATCTTGTGCTATCTTCAAATTCAATGTTGAATATGTGTATTCGTTGTTGCTCTTTGCCTATTCGGATTTTGGGAAATGTAAAATCATTCAATTATCTTAGCTTATACAGACATTGGCAATGGAAAGCTAGATGTTGTTTGTAGTTTCTTTAAATATCCTCTTTGTTTTTTATTATGCATTGGCTGCTTAGCTTTCCACTCTAGTGATTTTTCCGGCAATACTTATTCGTATAATTATCAATTCGCTGCATATGGCCATCGGACGAGGTTAGCAGATGCTTACAAAATAGTAATAATTATAAGATCATGCTCATACACTTATTTCTTTAAAGAATCAAAGAACTTAAAGCATTTCGAAGGAGTATGAAGAAAGTCCATATGTCTGAACCTCGTAATTATCTCGTAATATTTTTTAGAGGTAGCTCTATGGCTAAAAAAGCTTAGTCAACTTTAAAACTTACAAGATATGTTGACAACAGCTGGCAATTACGAGCTATAAACTCCACACTTCATATTATTATTATTAAAAACTCCCTTTAAAAACTATCAGAAATCTCTCACATGCCCGCAAGAGTATTAAATGTGCGATGCTCGAAACTGGCAGCTCAGCTTTCTTGTGCTCCTTTGTTTTCATGCCATGTAAAAAGGGAAAAGGCATGCAATTTATGCAGTGCATGAAAAATGAAAATCTGCACGCATGCAAAGCACAAACAGGAGCACAACACACAGCCCACAGTTGCATAAGTTCCAGCTGGGTGCGGGGAAGGGTGTGAGAGGCAACACTGTTGATAATGCAAAGTTATGCAGCTTTATATGTACAGTAGTACAGTACGCATCCATCCTCCGCCCTCCGCCCCTTTGTGGCAGCTGACGGCTGCTGTTTTACCTAGACAAAGCTTAAAGATTGGAAAATCCGAAAAACTTTTACGGCATGTCCTTGCGTATTATTGAGCTCGGCTCTTACAGGACACAGCTGCGGTTTTTATTTCGGGATATTG